ACTTATTCTGTTTGGTAGGCTGTACCCCCTCTGGGGGATTTGCTTTAGCAGAGTTTTATAGCTCATTGAGACATTAAATAGTAGTACTTATAAAACCTGCATGTAGACTTTAGTATCTGCTTTCCTGGTAGTAATCTAACTCTTCAGACAAGACTCTCAAATTGTTCCAGATTCACATTGCATGCTTCTAATTATTTGAAATTTGAAAGCACTCATCTTTAAGGCATTGCCTGCTGGGAAGGTTGCCACAGGCAGCATTGGAGAAAACATGAGCAGATCTAGGAGAATCCAGAAAAGTAGTCCTGGGGAAAAAGGGCAATTCTTTTTACAGAATCTTTTGGGTATCCCTGCTGTAAGGGGCTGCTCAAAAAATAGGGGCAATGAAGCAACTTGAGTGCTGTGTCAGTGAAGACAGACGCAGTCTCCTGTGTCTCCTGTCTCCTACAGACTCCTCAGTCTCCAGTGCAAAATATTCTGGTGTGGGAGAGACTCTTGGTCAGCAGCTCACTGGCTAAATGGCACATTTATTTGCAAAGACAGCTAATGGAAGTGCTAGTCTTGGAAACAATTCTGCAATTCAATAGGACAGGCTACTCTGAGGGTATGGGAATGAGTTTGTCTTCCTAGTGTCAAGTTCAGCCACATTTTAAAGAAAGGGCCAAGAACTGTTGTTGAAACATTGCAGCACCTACAATGCTTTTTTTAAAGAGATGTTGAATACCCAGAGTACCGAAGCTGTAATAAATAACCCACTTGTTGGATTTCATCACTGGCAACCAGACTGATTTGGAGAGATTTAAGTGTAATTATATTGTTTGCTCCTATCCTGCTTATAGAAATTACACCATTCCTTTCTGCATTCAGAATTGTTTATCTTCAGTGGCAACACGACTGTTTTCAAGGTGTCTGGGATATTTCTGTCTACAATGCAATGCAGTTTCTGGGTACACAGTGTCACAGTTGTCTGTCTCCATTACTATTTTTTAATTAGTTTTTTTTTAAAACAAATGGCAAACTATCTACATAGGTCTATTCCTCTGAAGGTAGGGCCTAAAGTAAGAACCAGTCCACTATCTGATTTTGAGTGCTGATGTACTGACTGCTTGCAGTGAACATCTTTCTGAAGTCCATGGTTAGCCAAATACTTCCCAGATTATGCTGCACACTGTGCTGTATTTTGTGTCCAGGAGTAGTGTGCAGCCCAGCAGTCGTGAGGCAGAACCGACAGGAGATAAAGCTGTACTGGTTTCTCTTCAGCACATGGCTTAAAAATATGGATGCACAAAATCAGAGTTGGGCAATTGACATTATTGGAATTGGTTTCATAAAATATGGCTCTAGTAACTGACTTAACTTTGATTCTAGTAATCTTTGCATATGTTCAGTATTTACATTTTTTTATATAATTGTAAACCCTTGGGAACGAGATCTCACAATCAATCCTTATGAGATCAGGGTCCCTTAGTCATCTTACTGGAATTGTGAACTGTAGTCCCTAACACAGCTAATGAGTAACAGTTTTCATTTGGGCAAGTCCTTAAATACAATAGGCTGGCATACTTGATTAAATATAAAAGCTGTGTACTAGAGGCTCACACAATTTTTTCTTTTGAGGAACCAGCATTTAGACTTCAGCTGAAGGACGGCACAGCTTTGTGGAAAGTGGGATTATAAACAATCCACTGCATGCTATGTGCTTAAAATTTTGCTTTGTTCTAAGACTATTGCTGTTTTGATAAACTAGATTTTATTTATTTCTCCAAAATTTGAATTATATAGCTATTGACATTTGAGCAGTGTAGAGAATTTAACTGATAAATAATTTTTTACTCATATAGTTGAGGATATCCTTTCTCTTGTTATTTTAGATTCTAATGGAAATGTCTACTTTGAAAAATTATGCTCATTATAGGATTTCTGAAACTTACATAACTGAGGCATTTCTGAAACTTATGTAACTGAGGCTAACCCTCAGTAAGAACTACCACTAAATCCTGTATTCTGCAGGGAACTTCAGGATTTAACAAGTTCTGTGAAGTTGGTTATGAACTTTCTTTTAGTATCAAATTAAATATGGGGATCTTCTATAGGCAGTAGATAATTCTGTCAGTGTGCATATGGCAGGTCTAATTGTGTGCTGATTGTGGGGGACACTGCCATGCCTAATGGGTGGAGTCCTCTGTTGAAGGGATCACTATGAAATTTTAATGCAAACACATTGTGATTATTTGTTCTTTTTTCATTTAATGAAATTGCTTATTTCACCTCAAGTTGCAGCCTTAACACTGCTGTGCAATCCCTCTTTTACCTCTTTTTAACATTTCCATCTGAGAATGGAGGGATTAATTGCATTGCTAGATCTGTTTCCATTGCTGCTTTACTGTATTTTCACTTTACTTGTGGACTTAACTGCAGTATGTATTTAAATATGAACAAGAAAAATAGTAAAAAGTGTCTGTAGTAATATTTTGTCAAAACCAGTCTCCCATAATTATTTCTTTCAGTGTTTTTGCCTTGCACAATGTTTCTATTCATTATCCCAGGTGTCTGTAGACAATATCCATAGTAATGCAACCAGTAATGCAACCATTTCTCCTATTTATAATTTGAACTTGTTCAGCCTTCATATTCTTGCTCTTGGAACTAATCAATGATACTGTCTCAAAGTGTCTTTAAGGTCTAACTGCACACTCAGACAATGCTGTATAATGTCAAAATTCTGTTGGTCATAGTGTATCTTAAAGAACTGCTCATGCTGCTTAGAATTCTGTTGGTCATAGTGTAGTTATATCTTAAATAACTGCTTACACTGTTCAGAATTCAGGATCTTGGGTAGACTGTTGAAATGTATCAAACTGGAGAATAATGGGCCCTGTCTGTGTATTCTGAATTATATCTAGTGAGGCTCTGATAATTTTTCCTTCTTGTAATTTATTGTAATAAATTGGTTCTATGCATGTTTGTTTTTAATACTTATTAAACATATTTCCACAAAATATCCAATAGCTAAATCCCCTATGAAATAAACTTACAAAACTTTTCTAATAGCAAGTGTTTTAGACATATGTTTTATATAAATATATATATGCTTTTTAAATTATGTTTTGGAAAGAGTGAAGAATGAGGGAAAAAGGTAGCATGTCATGGCATCTACAGCTAACTGTCTTGTTTCCCTGTCTGAACCCACTCTGCCTCAGCTTTGTCTACCCCAATCTCCTTCAGCTCTGGTATCTCAAGTTAGCAGGACCATTCATTTTTCCTGCTTTTGATAAGCCATGTCCTTTGGCTTTTGGTTCATTTTCAAAAATAGTGATATTTTTATATTCCACATCCCTGGCCACAAGAAGCTCTGTGTGTGACTGTAGCAGGTTTGGTGATTGCCATGGAGAGTAGCTGGGAGAACTTGAAAAGATCAGCCTGGCTGAAGATGTGCAAGATGGCTGTTTAGCATACAGCTCTCTCCTGAAACTGTGCAAGTTTCTTCTCCCCTTCCCAGCACAAACATTGTGAATGTCCTAGGAAGAAAAGGTTTTCAGAGGTAAAAATACAGACTGTGTCCAGCTCCAGTACAGAAAACTGTCTGTACAACACGGAATATTTTAGTGAAGAGAGGGAGCCAAAACAGTATGTACCAGGCAAGAGGAATGCAGAAAGATAACTGGATGCACTTCAAGCAGTTTAATTGCACAGTAATATAACAAGAATATAAAAGGAATTATTTCAGGAAGGGGTTATGAAAAATACAGATTTAATGATGACTAGATACATGTTTCTGACAGGATGTTTTTCTGTTGCAAGGCAGCTTTTCGGTGAGAAATTCATTGCTCTCCTCTCTACCCTGCTGAACAAGTGGAATTTTGTTCCCTGTTAACTGATGGAATTTCTGCAGCTCGTTATCTGTCTGCTGTTATCAGGATGCCATTAACTATCTGATGATCTCTCTTGCTCTTTCAGTTAGAAAGCAGCACACAGCAAGCACAATAAAACTGTGTGGTACTCAAAATGATCAATTAGGTTTTTTGGAACAGAATACTCAAGGGCTTAGTGTATGCTAGAATGTTTTCTGTGTATGTGAAATATAAGCCCATTCCAGAGCAAGACCAGTACTGGGAATATGACACTTGCATTTTCCATTTGTGACATAATGCACACAGCTAATCTGGGATTATATGGATAGTCCCATAAGGCTGGCACATTCTTCAGATATTAGTTAATGTCTCAAATCAGCAGATACCTTCCTGTAGTGTCAAGGATTTGCTAGTGCATTGTTCTTGAGCTTGGTTCTCCTGAGTTATCTTAGGAATGGAGGAACCGGAAAAGGGAAGAAATGCTGACAGCTACTGTCAATGTATGTTGTTTGGGCTGAAGATTTCAGACATGGTTCTTGTAATTTAATGTGATCTAACTTGTACTTACTGTCAAAAGTCCTCAAAGTTAATTTCCTTACTGATGTGAATGGAACACAATTGCAAGGTCTGCTTCTCGTAAATTCTATACTTGAAGGAGACATAAGGGGTGTTTTTGACGATTCTTTATTGTGGGGAGAACTCATGGCAGTCCCTTGCATTTTACTGCAGTACAGAGTAGAAAAGGGGAAAGAGATTCCACAGCAGTTTTGCACAGAGGATCTACTTGCATATAATAGAAAATGTGCTGGCGACTAGGATGTTTGCATTATTTCCAGTAAGAGTAGATACATATTTTATGCTTTATGTGTGTTGTAATATTCTGAATGTTAATATTTTATTGAATAAATACTCCAACATGAGATTTATGAGCTTTATAACATGCACCTAAATATTTTCATATGATCATCATCTCAAATTTCACGCATCATCACAGAAAGGAAATTGTGTGTTACACTTTTACTCTTTGTTTCATCAATTCTAGTAACTTTATATTTGGTATTATTGTTTTGAAACACAATGTTTGTACAATACTCAACAGAGTAATATTTTTTAATAGTTATTAAAATTTGGCTGATTTTTTTTTTCTTACAGAAGTTTTGATGTCGGGCTGCATCGCTTTCTGGTCAGGTAAGCTAATACTTACTTTGAATTGCACTCCTATATAGCTGGTGTTTAACCTCAGCTGGCAGCCAGGCCCCATGCACGTTCACTCCCTGCAGTGGGATAGTGGGGGGAGAACTGGAAGGATAAAACTGAGAAGAGTTGTGGGATGACATTAATGGTTTAATAGGGAAATTAAGAGCCGAGTCACACACAGACAAAGCAAAACAAGGAACTCCTTCACTCCATTGTGTGTAATGGTGACTTGGGAAGACAAACGTTGGGATATTCCTCCACTGCCTCCTTCTTTCCCAGCTTGGTATGCCAAGTGTGACACCATATGGTGTGGCATATCCCTTGGGGTCACCTGTCCTGACTGTGTCCCCTCCCTCTCGCCCTTGTGCATCCCCCCAGTCTGTGAGGAGCAAAACAGGCCTTGACTGTGTGTAAGTGCTGCTCTGCAGTAACAGAAACATCCCTGTGTTTTCAGCAACACTGTTTTCAGCACAAATGCAAAACACAGCCCTTTACTAGCTGCTGTGAAGGAAACAAAGCAAAAATGTTAAAAACCATTTATTTTGTTATAACTAGAAATCACTATGTGAATTCAGTGTTACTTTATACTTTCTATGGTAAGTTCTTCTTTTGTCTTCTGTTGATTTTTTAGTTTGAAAGACTTTAACTATTTGTCTTGGCTATCTACCCAGTGTGACTCTCTAATGAACTTCTTCAGGAAAATATGACTCAGGAAATTTCAGTAGCTGTGAAAATCTTAGTTTTTCATGCGCTGAAGACGAGCTTTAACAAAAGCTTTTTTCCACTGGTAACTTTAGTACCTTTATACCTTTTAAGAAGGGCTTGAAGTTTATAGAAAATTTGGAATGTGGAGGGGAGTCATATATTCTCAAAAGAAAAACCAATTTATTCAATGTGTGCAATGGACTGTTCTGAAGATGAATAAGGAAAGCGGAGTCATTGTTTGAGTGCTTTAGTTGATGATATTTAGAGAGATGAAGCAATTAAAGAAGGGCACTTCAGCAAGAAAAGGGAGGTTAATGCATTTGAAGTTTACACTGAGAAACTGTTTTTGCTGTTTAGAGTTTTTGTGTGGCCAAAGTCACAGATGTTTACCAAGAATGTGTTTGCTTTCATTTTTAATACAATACCTATTGATCTTTACAAAGAAGCGTAGTGTGTACTGTGAAGGATGAATTTTTCTGTGGTCTTTGGGCACTTAGAGAATTAATTCTATCACTTATTTTGTCCACTGCAATGTCTATCAGTGAAGAACTCTTACCTTGGAAGAATTAATCCAGTATGTATGAGCCAGAGTATGCTGTTTGGGTCCCACCATAAGGATCAGGTGGTGTCAGCCTTTCCTTGAGTTGGCTTTGCTGCTGGACTCTTTTTTTTTAGGCTACTTTGTCATATTTCCTGGATAAAGACTGTCTTAAGCCTTCACACATGAGTCCTTGTAGCTTTAATGCAGAAGTTTTTGGCACCAGATATGAGATCCTACCAGCCTAGGTCACAAGGAAAATTTGGTTTGTTTTAAGGTTGCACAGGCCAACCCACTTCTCATAACCTTTGAGCTGTAGACTTTGTGTATTTCTTTCTGTGTAACATTACAATGTTTAACAGATAGCTCCCTTAAAAAAGGCATTGTGTCAATATTGCTGAATGAACTTCTGTTTTAGAGTTATTGGACAACTAATTATATAAATTCTGGTATCAGTTCTACAAAATTACTTACATCTATATTTTGACGAGCAGATTTTGTTTGTAAATAATTCTATAAGAAATTGTAATCATCATATTGAAACATGGTTTTAAAGATGCTACTTTATAAAAGAAGTAGAGTGTCCAAGAAGGTCTTCTGGGAGTGCATGCAGCTACTTAACCAAGAGTGGAATCATGGTAAGCACTGATGTACTAAGTTTGAGATGCTGGTAATGCTTCTGCCATAAAATATTTTCATTTACTTCATACAAGGAGTGTAGTAAGATATTGTTCTCTCATACAGCATTGCTTTACCTCCCAAGGAGATGCTGTATTTAATTGTATGTTTGTGTGATCCTGGACTGCAAATTGGCATGAGTTGAATGTCATCTTTGACTCATGTATGACTTTTTTCGAAGCCAGCTGTGTCCTGTGCGGTTCCTCTTCTAACCTTAGCTTAGACATTTTCAGCCTGTTACCTACCTCTATTTACTCTGTTAACTACTTCATCTGCTCTCTCTGTAACTGTGCTGCTAAGGAGGAAAGAATTTTCTCTTCTGTTGTACCAGATTGAGTTTTGCTTGTTGTTTCCTAAACAAAACAAAAACAACAAAAAACAAAAAAACCCACCACCAAAAAAAAAAAAAACCAAAAAAAAAACCCCAAAAAACCCCCCAAAAAAATCTTACAAACCCAAAAACCAAAAAAAAGCCTTTTAGTGAGTGTCTTTGGAGTGGGAAACAGACTTGGTGTTAGTATCTTCTGTCTCGTCTGTCGGTCTGCCTTGTGAGTTTTTGAAAGTTACTGCCTTTTTTTGCCTAGACAGTCTCTGCTCCTGAGAACTTGCAGTTCATCTCCCGTGTTAATAAAGTATCTGTCATACATGTTATACTGTTCTATTCACAGTTTTCATTGCCGTGTGAAATAAAACAGTAGGAAAGAAAAAACCTCAACCCAAAAAAACCTGAGTTGCAGGAAGCATTGAAAGTCTATGAGGTGGGATTTGAAATGAAAAAGAAATTATATTATTTTAAGTATAATGGCTTGACCCTGCTGTGGAACAGGGAACTCAGTATGACACTTGCATATTCAAAGTGCAGGGCCAAAAAAACTAAAAATAGTCTCTGCTAAAAGGATGATCTGCCTAATTAAATGCTGATTGAAGGAACTAGGACTGTATGTACTGTTGGCCTGGTATACAGAGTCAGTGGCTTCCCCAAGTGAAGCATGACACAAAATATTACAGAGAATTACAACTACACAGGGTTTTTCTGTGTTCTTAGTAAAGCATTAATGGAAAATAATTTTCCACCATCTATGTCTTGAATTGTGCTTCTGATACTATTCTAAGATAGCTTGGAAAAGAATAAAAATCTTGTATTTTCAAATGCACTATGGATAGGTACATATACTGTAATGGCTGATAATGTGCTGTGACTCGGACTGAACTGGATTCTGGGACTAGATTTTTAATCACTGCTTGCAAGCTGAAATCAAGTGGTATCATGGAACTTATATTTGTGAAAGTAAAGTGCAAGTGAGTATGTGGGGATCTGGGTTTTGAACATTTGTTAGCTATACCATTATATTTGAAGCAGGGATCCTGGAAACTCACCAGGGAAGGATCAGTACTTTTTTGATGAAAACTGGGGTTTGGTAGTAGTAATGGAAAATATACTACTGTACTTGAAAGGTTATTTTCCCAATGTTTTCACACAATGATGTGAAAGAGCCTATTTGTTACTACTTTAGAATTACCAAAATTATTAATCATGTATTTAAATAGCATCAGTACTATACAAATGTAGTAATATTTTTCCAATATGACTTAAGGAAAAACAACCCTTTTTCTTCTAACTCACAGCATTCTCAGAATGGAGCAATAGGTGTATTTGCAGAGTTAAAAATATGTAGAAATAGCCTTTAGCATAGCAGTTTAGAGGAGAAAGAGTAAGAGAGGCTGCCTGTTGCTCTTTGCTCACTGAAGCTATTTTATCTAGGCATTTCATCCAGTGCTGAAAACAGGGCATTGGATGAAATAAAATTGTTAACTTGTGGGAATATTTACAGTCCTGATGCCAAACAGTGCTTCCTTTAGGACAGCACTGATGAAGACAGTGGGAAAGAATGACAGTTCCTGCAGGCATGATTCTTTTGAAAAATCTCTATGCTTTCAGCTCTGCTGAGCCTTTGAAAAAGTGTGAATCATACTCATTTCAGTACAGATCTGGCTTTGAAGAGAGCTGCAGGACTACGCACCCCCAGTGTCTCCAAAAGGCATCCATCTGTTAGCAGTGCTCTCAGCTCACCCCATGGTTTGCAATTACTTTAGCTTGTTTAGAGTTGCAGGTTATTTAGGTTAGCTTAATCCTGGGTGCAAAGGTACTCTGAACACACAACTTGGAAATCACCGACTTTTTTAGTTTTCTCAGGTAAAGCATGGCATGGTTTGCCTCTAGGATCAAAATCTACTGTGTTGTGACCTCTGCTAATTTTTATTTAGGGAAAGGACACCTGTGTAAGGGCAGAGTGATCCCATGGTGAAAGAGAGGATTATGGTTCTAACTAAGGTATGATTATGAAAGAAGAAATGGAAAAATCTGTTCATCATCTGGCTCAACTCCTGTATTAGTTTGCTGTGGAATCCCATGGGATCCCACATCTTCAAGCCAAAGAAATTTGTGCTCCTGCTTAAAAGAAACCCAAGCAGACCTGCTTAAAAGAAACCCAAGCCTTTTATCATGGTATAAAAAAAAACAAACCAAAACAAACCACAAAAACAACTGACCAAAAGAACCCAACACACCCAAAAGTTTCCACAACCCCCAAACTTCTGAGCTTTCCCTTCCTCTTTAATGCACACAGGTCTTGGAAGGTCAACATACGCTGCAGCAGTTCTCCAACTCCATTGCTAGGTAAGCTCAGTGGTGATTCTTGGCTCCAACAGCTGGACACGGATTCTGTGTGAGGTTCAATGTAGCACATGGCCCTCTCTTGGGAACCAAATGCCGCTGCTAATGCTATTCCATATCTGCTGCTCTTTTGAATGTAGCTGCTCATAAAATACCGTTGATGGTATACTGGGCTAGACAGCACAGTATTAATGAGATTCCACTTTTCTCCAGCAGCATTGATAAAGTCATATGGATAGACACCTCTGTCTTTGAAAGTGCTAGCTATCCCAAGGATGCATTCTTTTTTCCTTTGTTTTGTCAAGAGATTTGACTTTTTGGTTCACTCCTGGATACCTAGTGAGCCTTAAAGCATACACAGCAGTCATAGAATCATATAGTAGTTTTTGTTCTAAG